TTTTAAGTTTGTCTCATATAAATAACTTTTATAACGATAGTTTTATGAGTTTAAATAAATGTTTAACCGATTAAATACGTTCTAATTGAAATGTTACATTTCTAGTTTTGAAAAAAATATACCCTAGCGAAGGTACTCACAAGCGAATACTCACCGTATAATATTAAGTTTTTTGCGAGTAGTTCCATTTAGTTTTTGTATACTCTGCTAGTTTATGTAAAATATTCATAAGCTTATATTTTGACTAGTACTGTTGTATTACATCAGTTTTATTTAATATTAAACTCATAACAAAAAAAAATACGTGTACACAGTGAATGTTCGAGAAAAATAGCGGATATAAGACTACACATACTACTTTACTATTGTAGTTTTTATCAAAAAGGATAGAGACGCAGAACTCTTCATTGTTATAGAAAGTTGTTAAATGTTTTGTTTATTTTCTAAATAATAAAAATCAGATTATATTCATTTTTTTAAAGAAATAAAGAAAAAAAATAAACTTTGAAACAACAAGTCTATGTTTGGGAAAATATTCAAGAGGGACTTGTTCAGCAGTGTGGTAACTAATTAGATATAATAATCAACTATTGATATGCGACAATTTCTTGTTCATTTTCTATATTCTCAAAAGCAAACTTTTTTGTTGTTTCAAAACTTTATTTTTGTTTTTATTCATTCACAAAAATAAATAAAATCCTATTCTTATTATTTACCATATAAAGAAAACATTTAACTATCTTCTATAACTATGAAGATTTCTTTATCTAAGTAAGTATTTATTTAATTTAAATAATCAAATATTTTGTATAAATTATCTATTTTATTTTTATTTTAGATGATATAAAACAATTAATCCAAAATAAGTAAGTATTTTTATTTTAATAAATATATATATTTTATTTATTTATTGTAGATTATTTTCATTTATTGGATTAATGAATAGTAAGTATCTTTATTATAATAAGAATTTTTTTTTTTTTTTATTCATTTTAGATTATTTTTATTTATGGATTAATGTACATATATTCTTATGTTTAGTTGACCTAATAAGTTCATAATAGTTGTAGAATTTATCATCGTCCAACGATGGCCTTAACAATACAAATACAGACATACGAGGGTGTCGACAACTTCTTTCAATTATCTTCTTTTCTATCTTCAGAAAATAGATATTTCTATGTTGATGTTTTCTTTGTTGACACATTACTTTATGACACATAATCAAAATGAGCTCCTTATTTCTAGAAAAGAACCTAACTATCAAGCATGTTGTTATTTCTGTAGTTTTTATATCTATAATAAAATTTGTATTTATTTAAAAATTAGTATCATTTTTTTTTTAAATAATTTAGAGAAATATGGCATCATTAATGTACAATAATTCATCTGCATTATCATCTTCAAATGAATTTGCAAATGAAATTAAACGATATCTAGCAAATCTTAATTATACTCTTTCATTTATTCAAACATTCATTGTTTTATTTGGTATACTTGGAAATCTTATTGCATTAGTTGTCATTAATAGAAGATCATTAAGAAATACATCATCGACAACATTTATAACATATATGGCAATATTTGATAGTTCTGTTCTACTTTTACATGGTGCTAATTTAGCAAGATCGAGTAAAAATCCTTTTATTCATTGTTCATTAACTTATCTTACAGATTTAGCAACATTTTGCGCTAATTGGATTCTTGTTTTTATAACATTAGGTAATTATTTTAATTTTAAGTAATAGGACAAGTTTAAATTTCATGTTATTTTTCTTTAGAACGTTGTGTTGCTGTTCATTCACCATTTCTTGCTAAACGTTTTTGTACTGTAAATTCAGCTCGTTGCTCAATATATATCTTCTTATCAATTTCAATCATAATTTTTTCTGCAAAATTTCCATTGATTTATGATGTACGACAAGCTTTTAAAAATAAAAGATGTCTTATACGTTCAAATTTTGTATTAATTCTTCGTATATATCAAGTAGTATTATTTTATATTATACCGGATTTACTTCTTCTATCAAATTTACTTACTATTCATGCATTATGTCGACGAGCACAACGATTTTCAGTAGCTTGTTTAAAAGATGAACAAAAATTAGATATTCGTATAAATGATATGAATTCAAATCGTAAACAGCGGCAATTAACAATTATGCTTGTTGCAGTTAGTTTGTCATTTTATTTATTTACAACACCAGCAATGATTATGTTTATAAGTGAATATCATCCATTACAACATAAGAATATAAATAAAATAAAACAAAATCTTTTCTTTTCACAACTTTCTGTTATAATATTACAATTAAATAATGCAGTAAGTTAGTTTAATAAATAGAATATTTTATTATTGTTTTTCTCTTATCATAGACCAATTTTATATTTTATTGTGTTGCTAGTCAACGTTTTCGTCTAGCAACCATACAAACATTTTATGATTATTCACACCGATTAAACATTTTTTATCATCGATATATTTTATGCGATAAACAATATTATCCGATACCTTTGTATCGACATCGTTTAAGTAATTTTGGACAAACAACAATAGCCCTCCGTAGTACATGTCCTCCCTATTTTAATCAATATCAATATAGAGCATCAACAGTATGATAATCATTTTTGATATTGATGTAAGAAAAATTCAAACACAACAAAAGAATACAAAGAAATCTCATTTGTAACCTGTCAAAATGTAACACTGATGACATGTCTAACTAGTAGAAATAATTGATCTTGTATTGTTTTATATTAATAGTGACAGGTATTCTACGCATTCGTTCCATTCGTAAATTTGTTTTTTTATTAAAGAAAAAAATAATAAAATAAATGTTTTATTCATGTATGCTCTATTATATTTCTTTTTTTCGTTTACTAAATAAAAACTATCTATTTAAAATAAATATATATAAAATATTTGTTGAAAAGAAATTTTCAATTTTTGTCATTCTGAATGTATATATTTTTTTTCTTTAGACTCTTCATGGTGTCTTCCCGTTTAATCAACATTTTTTTCTGAACCATATTAGAATTGTACTAAAAAAATATTGCTTTGAAGAAACAAATAAACTAAACAATAATGCGTTACGGAACATTACTAACAATAAATCCTATGATTAATAGAAAAGCCTGTAAATTGGTTTTGATTTGTGGACTTGACTATTCTTCACATATAAGATTAGTCATATGGATAATAATAAAGGAATTAAATGTTCTTGTTTCTCGGTATATATATATATATACATGAGTAGGTGGTTGACCGACATATATTCACATAAAAATGTTTTCGATCATTGAAACTATCAAAGGAAAGAAATGTTTATTATATGATGAATATTGTTGTTGGTGATTGCATTTGTAATATAAACACGTATTGGCAGTGTGAACATCTTACTGGTTGTCATGGACGTGTTATACAACGAGGTGATGATGAACCACCTTTACCATCATCACACAATCATGATCTAGATAAAAAACGATTTAAATCAGATTTAAAACATCCTGTTCGTGAAGGACAATCACCGTTTCAACAAATCTATCGTGCTGAATTGATCAAGAGGTACACAACTCATACAGATGATTTGTTTGCATTACCTCAATATCATCAGATCGAAAATCCTTTGTATCGAACAAAATATAAAAATTTTCCACCACTTTCAAGATCAATCAATGAAATTTCTCTTGAAGGTATATTGGATTACTACAAAAATCTGTTAATCACTTCGTATGAATCTGCTTGACTTTTTAGGTAAATGGCGTATGTCATTAGACAACAAAGATTTTATTGTTATCGACCATCATTATTCCAATAATTTTCTCTAAGATATTTTTTGTTCTGTTTAAATTATTTTTTCGAGTAAAGTGTCGATGAAACGGGACTAAACCCTCTTTTTTATATAAAATCTTGATTAATGCTTCATATAATGTATTGTTTTCTTATCAACATCTAGAACAATATGTACATGTAAATAGATACTCATGCAGCAGTCGGCCCACGTCTGCAGACAACATTTGCATAGATTAGATCTTATTATTACAATATTATCTTGAAATAATTCATCGTATGTTTTACGTCATAACATATGAGAATTTAGTTTATGTGTGTATTTTACAGAAGAAACAAAATGTTTAAAGACTACAACAATTATCTCAAACATTGTGCATACTTTAGATTTAATGTGTTGTAATCTATCGACTTTAGCACAATTTATAAGAATACATTATTGATTAATAAAAGAAGTTTTTTTTTCAAAGAAATTGTTTTTCCTATGTATTATACTCATTAAAAGATTTTATTTTAGGTGCTAATGAGCAAAGCATCGGTATTTTCCATCTAGAAGAGTAACAATAAGACGAAACTTAAAAAATATGAAGTAATTGAATTCCAATTTTAGCTAAAACTCAACAGTATATACGAAAATTAGTCAAGAGAAAGAATAATATGTGTGATAGCTTACTGAGCAATAAAATAAATATGCATAGCAGGCTAATATAGACAGTTGAACCAATGAAACGAACAATAAAATTACATCTGTTGCTTCCTGTGACATGCATCATGTAGATATTATCATTAAGAGAATAGCAGTTATGCACTAAAGATGTATACGACGATACAAATAATCTTTTCAATATTACGATATTAAATGAATCAAATAATCTGATAGAAAAGTAATAAATATGAACAGTTTCAACAAAATAAACTTTCAGAGCACGCGTGTCAACTATAAATATTGTTATAACTCTGATCTATTCATCTATTTAGTTTCTTTTTAAATAACTTATTTTAAGACTTCTCACAATATATATAAATTTATAACGCTTAGAGTTTGTGAGTTCCATATTTCGGCCATTCGTGGGACCGCACTAACAAGTTTTTCAAAGAAATTGTTTTTCCTATGTATTATTCTCATCAAAATGCTTTTAAATAACAAAAATTCTTCTGATATAATGTTATTGTTTACACCATATTTACTTCTAAAAGTATTGTATAGAATTCTTCGTTAAGTAGGAAGAATAATTTAAGTTATAATATCTTCTAAAGAAGAAAAACAACACATTAGACACAAAAATCAAGGATAACAAGAAACTAATGGATTAAGATGAAATGGCAGACCTTGATGTCATATCTAGTCAGATGTTTCTTCTACTAAGTTTTTAATAACTTTTGTAATCATCATTAACCATTTCAATCCCGCATGTCATCTACAGGATGACATGCATATCGAAATATAGAAATTTTGCGTTCTGTCGTCTTCCTGCTTGACACATATCATATATGTGTTCAAAGAAACGCGTGTATTCTTCGCTGTGAAAATATTTTTTTGTCGTACTGAACTAGCGTAACTGAAATTCGTGTACAGCTGATTATCTAAATAAGTACGCAAGAGAGAGAAATCTAGACTTTCTGCAGCTTTGTATAAAATGATAGAAAATGTCGGGATTGAAAGGGTTAATAGAATTGAAATAGCGCATTTTTAATTTTGAATTGATTTTCTAGGGAAAAAAATATTCTCAATCATGTCTAGTTAGAGTTAGTGTATAGTACAGAGTTGAAAAGGGTGTGGGTGTGGGTGTGGATATCTTCTCATCACACACACCCACACCCTGTGCATTTGTACAGCCAATCAATTTAGTCCAACATGTCATATTCCAATTAGTTCTTATTCATCAAATTTTTGTCAATATCAAGGTGTATGTATTACGTATATGGATGAATTCTTGTTCGAATCTCATCGATGTTCTTGTTCTGAAAATTATTGTGGCAAGAACTGCCAATACAAAAAAGCCATGTTAAGAATTGATTTGAATAATGAAAGTTTTACTCATCCATCTATTATTCAACAACTTGACTATAATACTGAGAAGATGGAACTTATAATTCGACGTCAACATATTATGATTGGTAACACAATAATCATTCTACATGATGATTTCCTTCTTCCATCTATGAGCTTATTAAAAGTCCATTCTGACATAGTTCATCAAACAGAATTTTATTTGCTTTACATTGGTACTAATTATTCTAGTCATGAAATCATTACGAGAGGTATTCACTGTTGACATATTCGAGAATATGATTTAAAACCAAAAGATTCTTGTTTCGAATCTTGGTTAACTAAACTAAAGCAATACTATATTCCATGCCAGAAATTCAATTCAACAGTATGCTTCTACGATGAACGTAATTACTCCTGTTTTTGTCATTCAGTAACTCGTTGTACCACATGTTTTTACTGTAATTTTACCTATGATCGATGTAATCAATGCATGAATGGAGGTCGATGCTTTGCCGGTGATCAACAGAGAAATAAAAATGATTTTGTATGTCATTGTCCTCAATGTGTTTACGGTACTTTATGTCAATATCGAATGCATCAAATTAGCTTCTCACTTGAATCGGTATTATCACTCGATCTTAGCGAAATGAAAAGTAACAGTAAGTAAACTGTTAAAAAACAATTTTGTTTTGTAACACTTGTAATTTCTTGAAAGTATTTCGAGAAATTTATTAATTTTTGTCACAAGATTTGCTATTAGCTATAGCTTTAACGGTCTTTTGATACACATGACTTAAAATTCGTGTCTTTCAGCGTATGAAACATTTAATGACAAGGTAAGAAAACATCTAAAATTAACATTAACAATGAATCTATAAAAAGACTTTCAAACAGAATATGTGCTGAAATGATCATTCATGATTTGATAGTGCAAAATAGGACAAGTCAGTCATTGAAACGTTCTAGAGATGTTCTTATGGACGTACTATGCTGAAGAGAAAATATGATCTATTACTATGGTGTGGCAAATGTCGCATTGCTTCTCGCAGAGCGATCATCATTATTGAATTACAATCATTTAGGTAAATTCATTTGTAGATCCATCACAATTTGAGACCTAAAATCACATGTTAACCTTTTATTTTCTACTAAACATAGAAAAGTCTGACAATCTAAGGTCCACTTGTATTCTTCCGCTACTAACAATATTTGCAATGTTGTTTTTAGCTATCGGTCAAGGTTTATCCATCAATATGAAGTTAAGTTTAGCTTTATATATTAGTGTGTCTGTTCTGATGATAACACTTGGTTTTGTCAGTAATCTTCTTTCATTTTTAACTTTATGTCAACAATCCATTCAAACTTCAATTATCACTCGTTACATTCAATTGTCTGCCGTTACTAATCAATTAACTCTTTTTACTCTTCTTTTACAATCGACTTATATTATTTTAAATCTATACGATCTCCTCGGTGATACTTAACTCAATGTGTTTCTTTGACAAATTTCTTCATATTTGCTTCATTGCCTTGTATTTACTAATAAATGGCTTATTGAATTGTTATTAATCTATCGCGCTCAGACTATATGTCAAATACGCATCATTGATAGTAGCTATCCTCGCAAATCTATAATCGTAGCAATATGTATTACAATCATGATTTTTTCATTTAATTCAATTGAAATTGTTTTCCATCGTCTGCTTATAGATCTTCGAAATCCACGTCATCAATTTGTCTGCATTATTGAATATATTCAATATATCTTAGAAAACTCTTGAAGTCATCTTTCTCTTTCTTAATCATTGCATACCATTCTTGCTAAATATTTATGCTACTTATGTTATTATTCAAGCAGCAGTATGTAGTAAAGCTAATCTCAATAAATCTGAATTCCGATCAGAAGTATGGAGACAAACTAAAAATCTCTATGGATAACTCATTTGTCCAGTTCTAATGATTATTTGCTCTACACCTCAACTTCTTGTCGACTTTCTAACGCGTCGTTATTAGTGGGATAGTGCATTACGACGAAAAGTCATCATCGTTATCTATTTTATCTCGTTTCTATCACAGATATCCAATTTTTGTTTATTCATCTTGCCATCGAAGAAATATAAGAACGTTTTTGTCAAATCAAACTTAGCAAAACTTATTTCCATTATTACTACGGTAACGAAATCAACTGATGAACTAAGATCTCTATAGGTTTTTTTCTATAAAATTAATCTAACTTATAAATCAGTTTCATGCTATATATGCAAATGACAGCTTAATAAATAATTGGGGTGCGGGTGTGCCCAGGTCGAGCATTACGACGACCAGATACGACCGTATATACGCCGTATTTCTATGTACTGTATTCGGCCGTATATACACCGTATTTCTATGCACCGTATTACGGCCGTATATACGCCCTACTTCTATGCACCGTATTACGGCCGTATATCGCCGTGTCGTATACGACGGTATACGGTAGCCGTATACGACACAGAAAAAACCGTACAATCACCAGCTCCACCCTATACGGCAGAACATGTCAAAGTTTACTACGCAGCTGGGGACGTATACGGTAGTGAACGGCCGCATCCCGAGCAACCAAGGTCGAGCATTACGACGACTGCATACGGCCGTTTACGACTCCGTATACGGCAAAAATACGGCCGTATATACGCCGTATTTCTATGTGCCGTATTACGGCCGTAAGTCGCCGTGTCGTATACGGCGGTCGTATACAATGCCCTATCGTATACTGTTATGGACCAATCACAATTCGGTAGGACTTTTCTTGCTTATTATAAGGACAACACCCAGTCATGTTTGGGCCGACTCTAGGGTTATCGAGGTCGCTCTATCAAATGAGGGGTATATGTGTAAGGCCCTCCTTATATATAGCTGAGAACTAAAGTCTCGCAATCTGATTCGTGTACAAAATGGACCAATCCGATTTCTGAAGGACTTTTCTTGCTTATTATAAGGACAACACCTGGTCATGTTCAGGCCGATTCTAGGGTTATCCAGATCGCTCTATCGAACGAGGGGTAT